GCTGACACATGCGCAGATGCGTTTTTTTCACAATTTTCTTGTGGGTGGGACCGCTCGCGGCCATTTTGGATAGCTCCGGTAGAGCACAATTTTTGGCCCATTAGTTTGAATGGCGGAAATAGGCGTGACTACGGCCCCGTCCCAAATCGCGCACTTGCGCACTATACACTTTGAGAAGTGTGCAAGTGCACAGTGTGCAAGAACTGCAGAATTGGGACGGTTGAGAATACGTCATCAACGTGCTCAGGACGCAGTAGTTTGGCGTCATTCAAGATGGTGGAGCCGGCGGTTGTTTTGGCAAATTTGCTGCTCCAAAATATGCAGAAACTCCAGCAAATTTGTTTTTTGAGACGGAGAAGGCGCAGACAACACAGGAGGTTCATCCGCCAGGCTCTTGCCTTTGCGCAGGAGTCTGAATTGGTACGTTAATTTACTTAATACAGTAGTAAGACCGTTATTTATAGGTTTCTGCTAATGTGCTAGCGCCAGGAATAGGCTAAAGTGCAGCGTTTTTTAACGATGCAAACGTTAGAAAACAATGGCATTTACAACACAGCTATCATGTTCCCAGAGTTCATTGTTCAGCAGTTTCTCAAAGCGTTACTTCTTGTAAATATTCAGACTCTGAACTGTGTTTAGAATTTTGATTTAAGACTGGTTCCATCGGGTGAAATGAAACCGGCTGATAATCAGGCTTGTAGCATAGTTTACCCCTCTTAATTAAGTTAAAATAGATTACACAAAATCTGCAAAATTATGTATTATTGGGCTCTGCACCAAATATGTTTAAAACACATTCTAATGCAAGTTTCCAGTGGTCAATAATAATAAACAAAAACTTCTACTGCTGCAGCTGTCAACAATATTCTCCTAAGAAGCATTGCTTTACCAGATTATTATTTGATAGTGATTCCATTCATATTATTCTGAAAGTAATTTTGACTGATTGCCGATTGACCGCAACTGTGATCTTGATCAGGACAATAATTTGTTCTATTTTATGCACGTTTTCATCAGAATGGAGGAATGCTGACCTACACCAGGCTGAACCGGACCATGCCTGTGCTGCAGGTCTACTTTGATGTGGAGTAAGAGCTTCAACCTCACTACCGCCTCACAAGAAATTCAATGAATGGCCTGATGAATTTGTTGAAGACCGATAAAGACCATGGCTGGGGGTTTCCATTGGAGATCCTCATATTTGTGTATTGGCTTGCACACGGGATTTCCTTTAGAGTTGCTGCTACCCACCACAGGAGGCGCTGGAGGACACTGGTTGAGGTTTTGCCCGTTTAGCCAGGCACAGGGCATTTGAAAAGGCTGTAGGTTCAGTAGACGGCTGTCACATTAGAATTAAGCCTCCAGGTGACAACAAAGCGGACTATTTCAACTACAAACAGTTCTACTCCATACAGATGCAGGCAATTTGTGATTCACGTGGCAGATTCTTAAACATCTTTGCTGGATTCCCTGGCTCGGTGCACGACACCCGTGCATTGAAGAATAGCCCAGTCAGTCAGAGCAGAGTACCCTCCACAAGGTTATTTTATTTTGGGTGATGGTGGCTATCCTTGCATTCAACAACCCATTACCATCATCACCCCCTACAAGATGCCCCTTCACAACCGGGTTAAGGAACGGTTCAACCATTGTCATTCACGTGCCCGGTCAATCGTTGAAAGAGCCTTCGGCATGATGAAGACCCGCTGGAGAACCACAATGTTTAAGGCGTTAGAGGTGAAGATAGCCTTTTGCACTCAGGTCGTGACTGCCTGTGCTTTTCTTCACAATGTTTGTCTCAATCTCGGAGATGTCCTGGAACCGGATCGGGATGATGACCAGCCACCACCACCACCGGTGTCTGCTCCTGTTATTGCACAGGGTTATCTCATGGAACATTTTGAATTTTGCCCTTTTTGATGAAAGTTTAGTATTTTTTTAAGTAATTAATTTTGTTATTCATTTCTTTATTTATGAAGATTGAACACTGATTTGGGCTTCTTCACACTAAAGAATACATAACTGTGACAGAAAATGTAATTTTAATAATCAGAAGAAATATTAATGTTTTTCATTTATCCAAATCCCTCTTCTGTCCATTGGTAGTTGCTAGAGGATAACTGTTTTATACATTAGTTACATGTTCTGTAGTAACTATTTATCTGTGTCGCACACCTGATCCTTTGATGGAGTGGGCTTTCATATAGTACGGTGAAACCAATTAAATGTGATACCAGAGGATATTTTTTTTTCAAGTTTAGATTTTAGAGAACATTTGACAGATTTAAACATGCTATTGATTATTTCTCAGAAAGCAGTGCATTATTTCTCAGAAAGCAGTGCATGACTAATTAGCCATGCACTACAGTATTAATAAATAATTAATTAACACACTAAAGGGTCTTTAAATGTGTAATAAAGTGTAAATAGTGTACATTTTACAAAAGCTCACAAAAACTCTTAACTGTTAGTAACTGACTGAATAAATCATGCACTGCAGTATTAGTTTATAATCAAGTATACAATTATTAGTCATTATGTGGTTTAATCATGGTATAACAAACCATCTATATATATAGTAACAAAGGGTTACTTCATAATTGTGAACCCTCCCGCCTCATCTTTGGCAGATGCTACAGTCTCTACCTGTGAGACTTTTTTACAGTTCTTTGTTGATAAAGTGGCATCTGTGAGAGCACTCTGCAGCAGCAGTGCAGGCCTGACTGTTTCTGCCTCCCACTCTGCAGTGTTTGACCATTTCGTACCGGTCTCTCTCTCATCCCTTACTGACATCGTCTTATGTATGAGAACCACAAACTGTCCTTTGGAAATTCTTCCAACAAAATTATTGAAAGAAGTGTTTGTTTCTATAGGGCCTTTCCTTGTAGTTTTAATTTATACTTCTCTCTGTTCAGGACATGTCCCTGATGTTTTCAAACATGCTGTAGTTAGACCTCTGCTTAAAAAACCACAGCTCTATTCTTATGTTTTATCAAATTTTAGATCTGTGTCAAATTTGTCTTTGATCTAAAACATTCTTGAGAAAGTAGTTTTTATGCAGCTGCAAATGTTTTTAGAATGCAATTCAATTCTTGAAAAATTTCAAACTGGGTTCAGAACTAGACATAGTACAGAATCCGCACTGTTGCGGGTACACAATGATATAACCCTGTCTGTTGATGCTAAATGCCCTGTTGTTTCTTGATCTAACAGCAGCATTTGATACTGTTGATCACTCTGTTCTTTTGTCTCGCCTGAAACATCGCGTTGGCGCTGCACTTAGGTGGTTCCAATCATATCTCAGAGATCGAACATTTTCTGTTATGATTGGTGATCTGTCCTCCTCTATTGCTTCTTTGACGTGTGGAGTACCTCAGGGTTCTATTTTGGGCCCCATGTTGTTTTCTCTGTATATGTTGCCACTGGGGTCCATTATCGCACGGCATAATTTGACATTTCACTGCTATGCAGATGATCTGCAAATCTATCTGCCCATTTCATCCAATAGGAGTGATGCTGTAAAACGTCTAACGGACTGTATATCTTACATAAAACTGTGGCTACAGCAGAATTTCCTCCATTTAAATGAGGACAAAACTGATTTTTTTCTGTTTGGTGATACACATATTTCAAATGATGGTTTACTGACTTTTAAATGTAACCAACTGTCAGAAACCTTGGTGTTGTCTTCGACAACTCATTTTGTTTTGAGAAACAGATTGACAGTGTGGTCAGGTCGAGTTTTTATCAGCTGCGTATTTTAACTAAGGTTAAGCCTTTTTTAAACCGCTCTGACGTGGAGAAAACCATCCACGCTTTTATAAGTTCTAGAATTGATTATTGTAATGCCCTTTATTTTGGAGTCCCCCCGTCATGTCTTAATCGTCTCCAGTTGGTGCAAAATGCTGCAGCTCGTTTTTTAACAAACACCCCCAGACGTGAACACATCACCCCAGTCCTTTTTTCTTTACATTGGCTTCCAGTTTCTTTTAGAGTTGATTTTAAAATTCTTCTTTTTGTTTTTAAAGCACTCAATGGTCTTGCCCCTTCATACCTGTCCGAACTTCTAACAGTTCGTGACTCGGGCAGATCACTGAGGTCATCAAATCAGCTTTTACTGGAAGTGCCCAGGACTCGGTCCAAACATTGGGGTGATCGAGCCTTTTCAGTTGCTGGACCAAACCTCTGGAACAAGCTGCCCCCTGATCTACGCACAATCACTGACTTTGGCCTTTTTAACTATAGACTTAAGATATATTTATTCAGACTGGCTTTTTTTTTTTTTTTATTGGTTGGTCGTATGAATGTTTTTAACTGATTTTATGTGATTATTATTATTTATTTTTTTGTAAAGCACTTTGGTCGCCTTGTGTGTTGTAAAGGGCTCTATAAATATAATTTGATTGATTGATTGAATTATTAAACTATTAAATAACAATGAACAAGTGAAGTACTTGAAGATGTATTCATTATGAGTTAAGCATTTATTAACTGTAGTAGTTGAGTAGTTATTCAGATTCAGATTCAGATTCATTTATTTGCCATTTGCAGTAAAACCACATTGGAAAAACTGTGCAAGACTACCCCGGTGTGCGCCAGACAGAGACGACACACACCAGAGCTCTTGCCACGGCGCCATTTTTCCGGCGCCATGCATTAAGTGTTGGTCACACTTAATTAATTGTTCATGATTAATTTAAAAGTTATTTAAACATTTATTAAGCCTAAATAAGGTGTAGTTATGATATTACCAGCTAGGGTAATCAGATTATTTTGATAGAATTACCTCCATAACATACTTACAATACTTTTTTGTTTAAGTTAAGGCCATAAAAAACTGAAGCCCCAATTCAGCTTTTGTTTTTTGTTTTCTTGACATACTATATCTAATTTCTTCTCTCTCTGTTTGTAAGGCAGATACCCAGCCCTAATCTCTCAGCTCTAGATATAATCTTATACTGTAGTCTGCATTGGATTGAGGTTGTTTTTGCATTGTTTAGAGCCAGGTCCAGACCCAGACCCAGAGTTCATGGAGCCCATGCCGCCGTCTGTGTCCGTCTCTCCTCACGGACGCTTCGAACGACTTCAGGAAGATCCAAACTACATCTCCCACTTCACCCGAGCCCCAGGGAACAAGGGCCAGAGGAGGCTGCACTGCTTCCTGCTCAGGTCTGAGGACAGTCAGCTATTACTAAACATCAAATCATCATCAAGTAGGGCAAAAATATATCATTCAGACTTTCTTTAAATACACATTATATACAATTGTCTTTTTTGAACTTTTACCCTTTTACAACTTTGCTCTCACAAAAACAAATAGACTGGGACACAATGATAGAGCTGTTTTTGTTCCCACCTTGTAAAACAAAAGTATTGCCTCTAAATTAGTTATTTAACTGTCCTGTTCGATAGAGATTTAAATCTAGCAGAATATCATATCCCACTTCTACCAATACAGCCTTAAACCTGCCTTTTTCAGGTTTACTTACATATTCCTGATGCAAGCTACTGTAAAAATAAAAATATAATAGACCGCTTTGGTGACACTGTTGTGACTGTAAAGAGGAAAGTGGTAATCAGTAGGGCAGTTTCTGGTCGTGAAGTCAGAGAACTAATTTAGTTTTGTTAAATTCATTCAAACCAATCATTATTCACATTATATAACCAAACTTTGTTCCAATGTGTAAATGTACTCCAAAAATTGTTGTGTGTTTATGAATACTTTTCAAAGAACTTCCCATAGCTAATAATTAATCTAAAAAATAGGGTGGTACTTTTTGTTTTGTGTTGCAGGCATTTCGTAGTTGGCGCTGCTCTGTTTGTCCTGGGCCTCCTGATTGGCTGGTTCCTGCACTCGCCCCCGTCCGTCAAAGCTCAAGCCCTCCCCCCTGAGAGCTCTGACCTGCTGGACGCGCTGCTCACCAGGATCACAGCCGATAAGATAGAAGCTCTGCAGAGGTCAGTGTGTCACGACTTCTACATCTTTGCATTTTGTTTCATTGTATAAAAAGCGACACAGCAGTTTTCCATCCTCAACATAATCGCTTTTTTTTGCCTCATTTCCAATCCATGCGGGTGATTTTAAGCAGCTGCTACAGGTGTGGGTTGCCTACGCGTCTGAGCTGTTTTTAAAATGGTAATAACCCCGGTGCATCCATAAAATGATACGTTTACAAAATTTGCAACCGAAAAAACATAGAATAGAATAAGGCATGCATAAATAAAAATCTACATACAATTTCCTAACATTACTACTATATAAGTGCACTACATGCACACAATTGAATAGACAGTTAGCAGTAAAGTGACAGTAGCATGAAGTGCCAGTAGCATGAAGTGCCAGTAGCATAAAGAGACAGTAGCAGTAATGTGAAAGTAGCATAAAGCGACGGTCTTAAGGGCAGGGGACAGTGATGAGTTATGAAGAGTCCAACTGCAGAGAGGAAGACACTGTTCTTATGACAGGAGGTTCTAGTCCAAATGGACTGTAGCCTCATGTGTGGTTGGAATAGTCAATGTGCGGGGTGAGAGGGGTCAGCAGTGATACAACCAGCCGATCTGTTACTGTTACTCTTTTACTGCAGATATTGTATGTAATGATACATTTTGAATGCAGTACACAGCAAGTATTTATAGATTTTCCCACTAGTTCCATCAGCCACTCTCCCACAGCCACAGCCGAATATCGCTCCCAGATGTACTATAACAATAAAAGTTAGATATGTAAAAGTGTTAAAGGACCATAGCACAATGAATGATACAACTGAGTGCGACATTGATTGTGACACACTCACAATAAATGACACATTCATTTTACCAATTATATTCATACAAATAATAGGTAAAATGCTGTAATAATAAATTAATATGAAAATATAATTAATACATACAAATCAAAAGCTAATCTAAAAAGCTGTGTCTTGAGCATGCTCTTAATAACGTGAATCTTCTCTGCTGCTGGAGGACCACATGGGGCGGGAAGGTTTTGCTGCACAAAAACAGTGGGAGGAGAGAGAGCAGTGAGTTTCCAGTCTGAATTTATGATTCGGCTTCATTATCTGGAGGTTGGTTACTCTGATCTGCCCGTTTGCTCTATGTTGCACTTATGTAAAATACAACGTTCAAAACATTTTAGAATACTGGGTTAGGGCTGGGCGATAGATAGATTTTAATTATTAACTCAAATTTGACAGTTGGGGCGATTTCTTTCGAATGAATTTTATTTATTTTTATTTAGCAGTTTTGAAAGCTAACCTAAGGTTAACAGTCTCCCTCTGTCCTGACCCTCGCTCTCACAGTTGTTGCTGTTGCAATAACACTTCAGACGTTCAAGAATCAGACTTTATTTAATCGCCAGAACACACCAACATACACACGCACGTACGCAGGTAGGCAGGCTCCGGTCGCTCTGCTCGCACGCTACATCTTTCATTCTCATTCATTAATTTCTCAGCGCTCACGCGGCGCACACTCACGTGTCCCACTGAGCCGCTACACTTTGGGGAAAGACACGTCTCACACATTGCTCTCATTTCACAATAATGTGTTCCATGCTCTGTCTGTTAGCTACAGTAGCTGTTAGCGACAGTAGCAGAATGTAAACAGGAAACTTAACTCGCACAACGCGGTGGTCACTGAAGTTAGTATTAGCACCACCAGCTGGACCGAGAGTTGTACTATGCATAGTTTTTCTGGCACGTTGAAAGAACAAGCATGAAAACCCAAGGAGGAGGCTTTTGTAAAAGACTTTCTCTGTTATAACATTTGTATTTTGAGTAATCATTAGTTTTAAAAATGTGATATTTCATGTAAATAATGCATGTGTTAATACAATTTATATATTTGCTATGGCCCTCGTTTGTGCATTTTAAGTTATTTTGAAGGTGCATTGTGTCACTGTAAGTGAAGTTATTTGAAAACTGTTAGGTTGCATTTTCACTGTTTACAATGGCAGCGCCATCTCGTTTACAAGCATGATTTAAGGCTTATTTCCTGGTACACCTTAGCCTGGCTCTGCCAGACCCTTAGTTCCGCCATGGTCCACCAGAGGCGTTTGGCTGAACCACATGGGTCTGGTGTCGACGCCATAGCGAACGCCTTCCCCAGATTATTTTTTAATCGACCAATCAGGATTGCCGGTGTTACGTGGGGTTTGCACCGCCTTCTCAAGCTTCTCTCATGCAGCAGCGAGAGGAATCCAAGATGGCGGACGTAATGTCCGCAAATCTTTTTAAAAGAGTAAATACAATCTAATTAAGTCACGGATGTCACTTTTAATGCAATTTGAGGCGAGATATTGATGGTTCTATGTTGATATATGTGTGTTTTAAGAGTCAAATGTTCCTGTAAAGTTTAGTTGAAGCACTGGTTCAGTGTTCCTGTTTACACACTATGCAGCAGGGTTGCCAGGTTTGGTGGTTCCCACATATTTTTTCCAAGAGACTTGTAGGTATTAAATAAATAGAAAGACAATAAACAGAATCATGATAGCCCAAGTTGATTACATTAAGTTTTTTGCCAAAAAATCATTCTGAGTGTTTTTTTTTTTTTTTGGGTATTCTCGCGGATTTTGGGTTGGAAAATCTTGCTGGGATTTGGCAACCTATGGGAGCCGTGTGCTTCAATGTGAGTGGTTGAAAGCAGACTTCATTCGAGATAATGGACAAGTGGTCTATCCAATCACATACAAAGATTTTTTTACAAGGCCCTGCCTTCTGAAATCCAACTACTATGGCTCAGTACCAGACTCATGTGTGAAGTGCAGCAAACTACATGGGTCTGGCGAGAGTCAGGCTAGGTACACCTATGCTCCATGGGGAAATTTAGATTAAACTGCATTAAGGAAAATCTATTTCTTTGTCAGTTCTAGTTTGTTTTTAAATAGAAAAAAATAATTGATTAAAATCAAAAATCGGATTTGGTGTGAAAAAATTTGAGATTTTTTTTTTTTGCCATATCGCCCTGCCCTATACTGGGTGTTATTTAACCATATAGTGTAAATAGTCATATCATTACAAAATAAATCAAGAAGAATGCGAACAGGCTTCAACTCTCCCCAATGCGAGCACATCTCATGCTTTTGTGTGTAGTAACTGAGGAAGTGTTTCTGAAACTCCAATGTGACCCATGTATCCCACCGCAGAGTACAGACCAGAGCAGCAGAGAGCAGTAGCCCGACAGACGCGGCTACTGCTGTGGGCTGTGCTCCTGGTCCTGTGTTCACTATTGCTGACCAATCAGATCGTGTCTGGGAAATGGACTGGTGAGGACACAGTGCTGGGAGCAGTTTAAAATTAAATTTCTCATCCATGTATCAGACAAAAGATATGCATATACACTGAAATGTGTGTTTATCCGCAACAATAGTTGGTTGAGTCCTAAACATTTGTCAACATTATAGATTAATATGTCAAAAAAAACATTTCCAAACCTTTACCAAACTGTATGCAATTTTTTTCCACAGATTCTTTGTCCTTGTCTTTCTAAATCCTGTTCCGACAGCATTTTTTTTTTTTTAGAATGCCACTTCTTTGGCATGAACTCCAAAGGCACATAGACAGACTGAGATAAGCGCTGTCCACCTACCGCACAATGTTATCAGCAAACACAAAAGCATTGATACAAAAGAGTGGACAAACAGGCTTCAGACAGTAGCATGTGTCTCTTGCTGATAAGTGGATTTAACACTCCTGCTGCGCTCTCCCTGGAACTCTCAACTGGAATGTAACATTTTAACAACAACATCCTTCACACAATTTATGTTTTTAATAATTAGTTTCATATTTGCAATGTTGGGTTTTAACGCATCAAAAAGAGGAAATTGAAAATTCATGTTTTACATGTTTGTATTGGGGCCAAATCATGTGATCTATGAATACTAGAATAATATGTAAATATAAATTATTTACATATTATAATTACTTGTCTATGTGAAATTTACTATGCCTTGTAGCTGCTGTATTTATTATCAAAAGTTAAAGCGTTACAAACTGTACCATCCTTATTTCTCATCTCTCTCTCAAAACTACTTAGTTTCAAGGTTTCTTTATTATCCCTTAGGGCCAATTTAAAAGGCACACATATACACAATTAATACACACTAAAATCGGACTACAATGGCTGGTTTAAAATACCAACGGCAACAGGGATAAAAAAAAAAAAAGTTCTTAAGAGTTTCTGACCTTGGTTGAAAATGGAGGACTTTAGACGGGATATTTGCGCACAAGAACAGCAAAGTTTTTTTAAAGTAAGTTAAGTAAGTAAGTAAGTACGTTTTTATTTATATACCGCCTTTCACAGACCAGAGCGGTTTACAATTGTTATTTTTGGGCAATTGTCCTCTCACTCCACACAGAGAGATGGGAGCGGGGTCGCCAGTACAGGAGGCGCTTGCCAGAACTTATTGTACATGTTTTTAGTGGTAGGGGAAACCGGAGTACCCGGAGGAAACCTACGTAGACACAGGGAGAACATGCAAACTCCACTCAGAAAGGCCCTTTCCGACTGGGATTTGAACCCAGGACCGAATCCCGGTCGGAACAGATTTTCTTAACATTACAATTGTTTTCAGGCAGAATGATAACAGACCGTCACCATGACCAAAAATAGTCCAGATCACTGGAATATTTTGTCTTGCGTTTGCCTATTTCGTGAAGGCCTGTTCTCACATTTCCTTCAGACAGCATTAAACCTGATGGAGCTCTCCATGGTGCTGATTCACAAATCTCTATGTCTATGGTGCAAAGGTTCATCTTCAACATTCAATTTCAAATCAATGTAATTCATTTTTGTATAGCCCTAATTCAGTCCAGCAGTCATGTGGGGGGATTTTACAAAGTTGTCGATTTGCCAACACAGATCAGAGAATCAAACTGTTCAAACACAGGAAATGCAATGATATAAATAGCAAACACATAGGATCCATTGGTCCAGGGGTGAAGATGAGCAATAACCATAAATGTTGAAAAATGTAAATTAGATAATAGACCAAAACAGATAATTTTGAAA